TGAAATGGAATCATTTTGGAACTGGAAAAATGGCATAAACACTGACATCCTTGAAACCTCAATTTTATAAAGAAAATTCTTCTGCAAACCACATCACCATTATATAACAAGACTAGGTATTATCTACATCTTCACTTTGGCAATAGCTATTTCCTAAAAGAATGAAAAAGATGATTTTGCTACTTCAGTTCATTAAAAATGGGATTCTATCTTTAAAGTTCAGAAAAAGCTGCATTTAGATGAACTACGGTTACCAAAAACAAACAAACAAACAAACAAAAAAAACAGTGTCTAATCAAAGCAAAGGAAATCATTTTGAAAATAAAGAGAACAAAGCTGTTATAATTGGTTAAGGATTTCCAGTAGTAAGTTAAAATCTCAGGAGAGGAATGGATAGCACTACAAACAATGTGTTCACTTCCAAGACCTTAACACTAACTTCTCAAAAAGGAAGTTTTCATCACTTCTAAAAATGAATTCAATGTAATTTTGTTAAAAGCAGGAAACCTAGACCTTCCTGTAATGACAATCCAATAGTCCACCCTCACCATCGTCAAAAGAAAGTTGCCTCAAAATCAACAGTAATTAGCCTGAGGTATTGTAAATGTGGCTCTACAGTCTGAAATTTAATGGCATCTTTTGTCAAAAATAGTCTTATTTCCACTTTACTGTCATGACTACAATACTATAGTGCTCTCCCTATAGTACTACAACGCAGTCATACAGAAAAAAATTTTTTCACCTTGTGAAATAGTGCATCCATCCACTTCTATAAAAATAGGAGCCACACTGGCCGCGCGCGGTGGCTCACGCCTGTAATCCCAGCACTTTGGGAGGCTGAGGCAGGCGGATTACGAGGTCGAGAGATCGAGACCATCTTGGCCAACATGATGAAACCTCGTCTCTACTAAAAATACAAAAATTAGCCGGGTGTGGTGGTGCATGCCTGTAATCCAAGCTACTCAGTAGTCTGAGGCAGGAGAATTGCTTGAACCCGGGAGTTGGAGGTTGCAGTGAGCTGAGATCGCACCACTGCACTCCAGCCTGGTCAACAGAGAGACACTCTGTCTGCAAAAAAAAAAAAAAATTTATATATATTTTTATATATATATATATGCCACACAAAGATCACTAACTGATAATTTAGTTGATAACTGAACTGTTTTCTAGTTTAGTTATCAAAGTGTGGTGTGAACAACATGCTGAGTGTCACACTGGCATTACAAATAGGCCCAAAATTTTGAGCTTTTAATGAGATCAAGAAACATTTTATGAGATTTAACTCAATATGCCTTAACACATCCATGAGGTAGTTAAATAAACAGTACTACACATTTTAATACATAGCAAACAGAAGCATGGGTAATTGACATACTCATACTTTAAGCAATAAGAATTAGAAGAAACCACAGAAGCTTGGGGCCTTCTCTCTAGCTCTACCCCAAAGAAAATGAACTTTAACTTTTTTTTTTTTTTAAAGCATCATATCGCTTAAAATTTTTTTCTTCTTCTTCTTCTTTTTTTTTACACTTGCTTATTAGTACAGTATATCTTTCCAAAGCTGGTACCCTTTTCACTAATGTGGTAAAAACTGAGTATAACCCTTAATTCAAGCTAGGCCTCTGCTTCTACCTGAATTGGTACAAAATTAAGACATTATCTTGTAAGAACTAAAATTGTATTTGAAATTTTTATTTTAGGCTACAAAAACAAGCAAACAAACAACAAGTAACTTGAAAATAGGTCTTGTCAAATGATGTAAATTCATCCTTTCCAGGGAAGCAGAAGGTAGATCCTACTACATAGAAAAGATGCTTAGTTAATGGAGGTTAAATTTAAAAGTATAGTTAAATTCAGGCTAACTTCTGAAAATCCTGTTTTATTCATCTCACTATTGTACCAGTAACTATACTGAGTCAGGTTACTTTACAGTTAACTATTTCACCTATAACACAATAATCCATTAACAATCTAATACAGTTATTGGGTGTGGTCATACTGGAAATTCTTAAATTCTTAACCATATAGTTGTCTTGCCCATTTTTTTTTTTCTTTCAGACCGAGTCTTGCTCAGCCACCCAGGCTGGAGTGCAGTGGCATGATCTCAGCTCACTGCAACCACCATCTCCTGGGTTCAAGCGATTCTCCCATCTCAGCCTCCTGAGTAGCTGGGATTACAGGCACCTGCCATCATGCCCAGCCAATTTTTGTATTTTAGTAGAGATGGGGTTTCACTGTGTTAGGCTGGTCTTGAACTCCTGACCTCAGGTGATCTGCCTGCCTCAGCCTCTCAAAGTGCTAGGAATACAGGCATGAGCCACTGCGCATGCTAATTTTTTTTTTTTTTTAAACGATGAATTGTCTTAGTATAAGTCCCTGCATTTCTGTAAGAAAGTAATGAAAGGCACAGCTAATCCAAGCAGACTTAACCCTATTCAACAGACAGCTGAAAAAATACTTTGGTTCTTCAAGGAAAAAATTCCGGGAAAAAAAAAAAAAAGTGTTTCCTTTAACAGTTGTTAATTTTCATAGCTGTACTCCAAGAGCTACATAAAAAGATTCCAGAAGATCCAAATTATTAGCAATGAATGAACATGTGTGACAGAATTTGTGCATTCAACATATCTGGCAGAAAAACTAGTGAAAATGCTAGCTAGAACAAATTGGTCTTTAAAATATCAGTTTCCTGTCCTTTAAAACAAAAATTACCTAGTCTACCAAGAAAATACAAAAACATAAGGCAGTAAGTAAGAGTTGTGTTTAGGCTATTATAGTGCAGGTTATCCTCAAGGCCACATATATCCTGCTTCACTGCTGCCTGCATTCTGCTGGGTTTTGATCCTTCTTCAGGTCATAGTCTGGATCATTTCTCTCATCTCCTTCATCTTCCCCTTCCTCATCTGCTTCTTCACCTTCTTCACCATACTCATCATCATCATCTTCAGTAACTCCTCCAGTAAACTGTAACACTGATCTTGGGATTACATGCTCACATAAAAAGTGACCAATGTTGAAGTCTGCAGCGAGGATAGCTTCAGCAGCATCATCCAGATCTCCACTCTCAGGAACTTCAGGAGGGGCAAGAAAATTAAAGCAAGAGTCATTGGAAACTGTTTTGGTCACAGTACGAATTGTCCCATGTACCTTGTGTTTCTGCTTCTTAATGGTTTTCAAAGTGACATTCTTTCCTTTTTTCCAATCTATCTGGCCCCCTGTACAACCCATAATTTCTGGTCCATCAAAAGAAAAGGGATCAGAATCATCTGGTTCTGGTTCTAACCTTATCCTACATGTCTTTGTCAGCACTTCATTTGTAAAATATTCACTGGGTTCAAAGTGAAATTCTAAGACAAAACTCTTCGGCTGGCCAGCATCTGAGAACTTCACTTTAGTATCTTCGAAATGCTTCAGAATAGGTTCATGATGTTCCTGAAGCATATCACTGAGTAAGTCAACATTCTTAAAAACAGGTAACCAAAATTCAGGAATTCCTTTGGGGTCTTTTTTTTCTTCATCCTTTTTCTCATCTTCAGTCTTGGCCTTTTCTTTCAACTCCTCTGAAATCTCATCTTCTTCATCTGGTTTCCATTCACATTCTTCATAGGTTCATAAATTGCATTAATAATCATAAATTGCTTATCAAATAGAGGCTGATAGAGAACAGCATACTTTCTTTCAAGATTGTGAACTTCCTCATATAATTTGGCTTCTATCTGTGCACTTATGCAGGTTTTTGAGAGTATTCACTCCTCTTTTAACTACCCTAGCTAGGCAGGTTGTCAATGTCTGCCATGTTGTAAGAACTCAAATATCAGAGGCTAGTATGGGGAGCCAGGTAGGTGGAGCTGTGCAGGCAGTGACTCAGGGCAGCAGCGGTGGTGGGAGGAGCAAGAGGAGGTGGTGGGAGGAGCAAGAGGCAGCACTGCAAGCAGATGGCGCTAAAAAAGGAGACCCCATCTCTGAAAACGAAAACAAACCCTTAATTTCACCAACCCGAGATAATCCCTAAAATTTGGCATTGAACTAGGCATTTTTCTATGCATCTATAACACATAGATGCCTGTACTACGTATCTTTAAAAATCAGATGCTATACCTATCTTGGAATCATTTCTTAAATCATGTAACAAATAACTTTCTATCTCATACATTATCAGTCTGAAGATTTGCATAGTATTTTACTTTTTAGATATACCCTCATTTGTTGGGCCAGTCTCCTACTACTGGATAGTTTGTTTTCTGTTATATAACACATATAAGCTGTGATGGACTACCTGCATCTATCTTTGGGGCTTGTGTCCAAGTAAACACTGAGGATAAATTTGTAGAAGTAAGTTTATTAGATTAAAGGATATAATATCCTTAGAATCTTTCATTACATATTGCATATTGTTAGCATATTGTACTGTTTTACTACTAGCAAGACCAACCATTTCTCTAAAAACATCTTTTTATTCTGAAATAATTATAGACTCACAGGAAGTTGCAGGGTGATGTACAGGGAGGTCCCACTCACCCTCCACTGTGTACCCTTTCCCCAACTTCCCCCACTGTTGGACATCTTGCATAACTACAGTACAATAACAAAGTGAGAAAATGGACATGGGTACAAGTCACAGAGCTTGTTCAGATTTATATGTTAACTCATTTGTGTGTGTGTGTGTGTGTGTGTGTGTGTGTGTGTGTGTGTGTAGTTCTATATACTTTAGTATAACCGAGATGGTCTTCATATGGTCAACTCCGTCAAGAGAGTATTTATCAGACTAATTATTGAATGGTTATATATATGGCATATTGAAAAAAATAAAGATGACCACAAATGGGCCTTTAAAGAGTTTAGTGGGTAAAGTAGGTCAAGGTAATACTGGGCTTGATTAGGCTGCAAAAGTATAACTTTTATTTAAATACTTCTTATTGTTATATATAATTCATATTCAGAAAAGTACATATAGCATATATGAACACTTTATAAATAGTTAATGAACCAATTATCTGTGTCTACCTAATGAAGCATTTCAGACATTGAAGAGAGACCATTGACATTTATTTCAGGGTTTGGGAGAGCTCCACATTTAAGAAGGCATTTGAATTGGGCTCTGAATAGAATTTGAGAAGCCAGTAATGAGAGGGTGTTTCAGGCTTGGGAACAGCAAAGAATAATGCAAGAATAATGTTTTTGTAGAACAGCATGTGTAGTGATGGGACATAATAGGAGATAAGACAGGAAGGGTGTCTAGGAACAAGACTGTAGATACAAAGTCTTTTCTGTCTTGCTCTGTCGCCCACTCTGGAGTGCAGTGGCGCGATCTCGGCTCACTGCAACCTCCGCCTCCCAAGTTCAAGTGATTCTCCTGCCTCACCCTCCCCAGTAGCTGGGACTACAGGCGTGTGCCACCATGTCTGGCTAATTTTTTTTTTTTTTGTATTTTTATTAGAGATGGGGTTTCACCGTGTTAGCCAGGATGGTCTTGATCTCATGAACTCATGATCCACTTGCCTTGGCCTCCCAAAATGCTGCGATTACAGTCGTGAGTCACTGCACCCAGCCCCCCCGCCCCCTTTTTTTTTTTTTGAGACAGTCTCACTCTATTGCCCAAGCTGGAGTGTAGTGGCGTGATCTCGGCTTACTGCAAACTCCGCCTCCTGGGTTCAAGGGATTCTCTTGCCTCAGCCTCCTGAGTAGCTGGGATTACAGGTGCGCACTACTATGCCCGGCTAATTTTTTGTATTTTTAATAGAGATGCTGTTTCACCATGCTGGCCAGGCTGGTCTCGAACTCCTGACCTTGTGATCCGCCTGCCTCAGCCTCCCAAAGTGCTGGGATTACAGGCATGAGCCACTGCGCCCAGCCAAAATTCTTATCTATTAAGCAATTACTCCTCATTCCCCTCTCCTCCAGCCCTGGTAACCTCTAATTTAATTAATTAATTAATTAATTAATTTTGAGACAGCGCCTCACTTTATTGCCGAGGCTGGAATGCAGTGGCACAGTCTGGGCCAGTCTCTGCCTCCCAGGCTCAAGCAATCATCCTGCCACAGCCTCCTGAGTAGCTGGGACTACAGGTGCCCACCATCACACCTGGCTAATTTTTGTATTTTTTTGTATTTTTAGTAGAGACTGGGTTTCACCATGTTGGGCAGGCTAGTCTTGAACTCCTGACCTCAGGTGATCTGCCCGCCTCGGCCTCCCAAAGTGTTGGGATGACAGGTGTGAGCCACCGTGTCAGGCCAAATTTACTTTCTGTGTCTGAATTTGCCTATTGTAGATACTTCATATAAATTGAATCATTCAGTATTTGTCCTTTTGTGCATGGCTTACTTCTGTTAGCATAATATTAGACTAGTACCTTTTACCTGAGCTACTATAAAAAGGTACTCAATAGTGGTTGTAAAAATAGAGAGGAAGGGATGATTTGGGGAGGCATTATAAAGGTATTTGTACAATTCAACTGGACTTGAATTTGAAAAAGATAATACCAGGGTTTCTAGTTATTAAACAAGATAGGAAACATAAGGTGCTCAGTAACTATATCAAGAGATTTTATTTGTCTAAGGCTGGGTGCGATGGCTCATGCCTGTAATCCCAACACTTTGGGAGGCTGAGGCGGGCAGATCATGAGGTCAAGAGATCGAGACCATTCTGGCCATTGTGGTGAAACCCCATCTCTACTAAAAATACAAAAATTAGCTGGGCATGGTGGCGCATGCCTGTAGTCCCAGCTACTTGGGAGGCTGAGGCAGGAGAATCACTTGAACCCGGGAGGCGGAGGTTGCAGTGAGCCAAGAGCCCACCACTGCATTCCAGCCTGGGCAACAGAGCGAGACTCCGTCTCAAAAAAAACCAAAAAAACAAAAACAACAAAAAGAGATTTAATTTGTGTAAAGCAAGAGTAGGACTGGGCACGGGTGGCTCATGCCTGTCATCCCAGCACTTTGGGAGGTCAAGGCGGGTTGATCACTTGAGGTCAGGAGTTTCAGACAAGTCTGGCTAACAAGCTATGCTTATTTATTTACATATTGTCTGTGGCTGCTTATGTGCTTAATGGTAGAGTTGAGTAGTTGCAGCAGAGACTGTATGACCTGAAAAGCCTAAAATACTAACTATGTGACCCTTTATGGAAAAAGTTTGCCAACCTCTACTTCAGATTGTGAATCAATGGAAATAAATATAAGGCACTGTTTCCTATTCTCAAGGAGCTTATATTCTAGTTGAGGAAAACTAGGGCAGCGAAAAGGTGCTTAGCAATTCTTAGTTAACTGTTGTTTTATGTCAGAACATGTATTATATTTACAAATATATATATATATATATATACACACACTTATCATTTAATGATTCCTTTTCCCATTTAAAAAAATTAGAGAAACTAGTTCATAATGAGTTGAATTAGAACACATGGTAATGGGAATGAATGAAATTGTTTATCTGAGGCTTTCTCAGAAAATAAGATGAACTTAAAGGTCTAGAAAGACTTCTAACTTGTATCTTCTTTCCCCTTTCACAATGCCAGAAACCATATACTTCATTGCCTTTCAGATGCGGTGGTGCTAGAATTTGTTATATTTTCCATGAGACTTTTGGGCGAACCTTAGAATCTGTCGATCCACTTGGTGGCCTTAACACTATTGACATTTTGACTGCCATTAGAAATGCTACTGTGAGTATGCTTAGCTTTTTAGACTGTAAAAAAAATGAGGTTAAAGTTTTTCTTACCCATATACTATGTCTTTTTAAACTTAATTATACAGTTTATTTTGCTCTCATATTTGAAATTGAAAAGCATTTTGCATGAAAAATACAAAAAATGTGACTTAACCTTTGGGAAGCACTGAAATTACATATATAATAAGAGTTCTAAGTTTTATTTTCTCAGGGTCCTCGTCCTGCTTTATTTGTGCCTGAGGTTTCATTTGAGTTACTGGTGAAGCGGCAAATCAAACGTCTAGAAGAGCCCAGCCTCCGCTGTGTGGAACTGGTTCATGAGGAAATGCAAAGGATCATTCAGCACTGTAGCAATTACAGTACACAGGTAACGGAGAGAAATGTAACAGGTTTCACGCAAACTAGAAAAGAACATGAAGTGGTGGTTTCACTGGGTGGAAGGAAATGTGTAAGATGGGATACAAGGTAAAATCTGTAGTTCCCTTACCTGAAAGTGATTTGAAATAGGATTCTTAAATGTAGGCTCTAAATCTAATTCAGTATTTCTGTGATCATTAAATAAAAGAAAATGACTGTTGGCCTGCCATGGTGGCTTATCCATGTAGTCTCAGCTATTTGGTAGGCTAAGGTGGGAGGATGACTTAGTGAGACTATGTCTTAAAAAGAAAAAAAACAAACTTACATTTTTCTTTCGTCTACCATTTATAGGAATTGTTACGATTTCCTAAACTTCATGATGCCATAGTTGAAGTGGTGACTTGTCTTCTTCGTAAAAGGTTGCCTGTTACAAATGAAATGGTGAGCTACTATAGCATAGATCATTGTAATTACTATGAGTCAAAGTTTAAATTTTTGCTTGACTGCTTTTTAATAAACATTATAGGGTTACTTTAGAGTTTAGGCATAATGTTTTCCAGTGTATTGGGAGGAAAAAGAAGTTGAGTTTCAGTCTCATTTTAAAGGAAAATTTTTAATAATTCTAGTATAAAGTATATTTTTTCTTCATATTTTAATCGTTAGCCTACAGACATGGGTTTTCTTGAAAATAGATTTATGATTGAGGGGTGTGAATAGCTTTGCTGTATTATTTAGTACCACTGATCTTAACAGAAAATTAGTTCCATCTTTAGCCTCAGTAAACTGAGCCTTTATAGCACACTCTTACTTTGAGGTACATCGGCGTAATCTGGCCACTTCTGCAGTTTGCTTGTTATGACCTAATAACTATAATATCATAGTTGCTTGCTACTATTCTATGGGTTGCTGCTATCCACACAAATAAAAATGCTGAAATTGGCAGAAATATGGGATAAGCATTTAAAATTGCCCTTATGCCTCTAATTGTTGGCTGGGTTTTTGTTTTTTGTTTTTCTTTCTGATCACTAAAAGTGCATTTGGGTCCTTGGCTCAGGATGGTGAGCCCCGTGGAGGTTACTAAGAGTACAAAACCATCCTTGGAATGTAAGTGCTGCTGCTTGGCTGTTTCTTTAGTGAGGACACCCCTCAGATTCTGATGTCTAAGACTGAATATAGCACAGAATCATTGGACCTTCATTTTAATAGACCCTTTTTACCCGGTTCTGGACTGATAAGTGCCATTCTGATACCTGAGATTTGTTAGGACAGCACATAATAAAGGGCTTAAGTTTATTCTCTCTGTAAGACTTAGTGGTGTGGTAGCTCACGCCTGTAATCCCAGCACTTTGGGAGGTCGAGGTGGGTGGATCA